ACCTTAATGATTTACCAATAGTCATGCAGATCAACACCGGGTCACGATTTTCGATATTGCCGATTAATATTGCTAGAGGAATTAAAGTCTTAAATAAATCGGATACGAATCTGAATGGCTATGATGGGAGAAGAATAGAGGTGCTAGGAATCGTTAAAATAAAAGTGAGATATGAAGACAAAACTCAAAATTTAGATGCGTATGTAGTCCAAAATGACAAAATTGCAATTCTGGGAAGGACGTGGATAAAAGTTTTTGGGAACTTACTTAATAAAATTGTAAATATAATCGAGGAAAATAGAAAAGTAGATAGTAAAAATTATGAAGATACATATTACAATAAAAAACATGAAAATTATAATTATAAATATCATAATAATAAAAACTTGAATAAAATTGAATTATGTAAATTAATACCAAATGTTAAAAAAGAAATAAATTCTTATAAATTAGAAGAAATAAATCTTTGATAACAATTGAAGAAATAATAGTTATTAAAAACAATAATGAAATAAAAATTGAAGAAAATAATAAAATATAAAATTTTATAATTAATAAAAAATTTAAAAAAACTTTGGAAAAGAAAATTAAAACAAAGGTGATTAAATATCGTGATGTTGAAAGAGAGATTAAGAGTACGATATGGAGATCGTATGTTGAAAATGGAACTGGAAAGAGAAATTTTGTTATAAAGAACAAGTTGAAGAGTAATTATGATATAGAAAAAGTGTTTAAATTGAAAAATAAAGGAGAAAATTTAAAAATAAAAATAATTTATTAATTAAATAATAAATAAAAAATTATAATATAAAATGAAACAGTTCCAAATTATGATTCTTATTCTTATGAATGATTCTGATAAATTATTTATTCCATTATCATTATTCCATTATCATTATTCTATTATCATTATTCCATTATCATTATTCCATTATCATTATTCCATTATCATTATTCCATTATCATTATTCCATTATCATTATTCCATTATCATTATTCCATTATCATTATTCCATTATCATTATTCCATTATCATTATTCCATTATCATTATTCCATTATCATTATTCCATTATCATTATTCCATTATCATTATTCCATTATCATTATTCCAAAATTATTTTATTTGAGATTGATCATAATATATATTTACAAACATTGATAAAAATGATAATAAATAACGAGATGAACAAGCTAATGGGAGGATGATATTTAAGCAAATGATTAGACGATAAAGATATGAAAATTCTACTATAAACAAATGAAAAAATTTTTTAGGGGGAAAAAGTGAAAAAGTTCAAGTTCAAAATTCGAAAAATTCAAAGTCAAGTTCAAGATTCGAAAAATTCAACGTCAAGTTCAAGTTCAAAAATTCAAAGTAAAGTTCAAAAGTGAGAATATGTCTTACGACATAGAAAATGATTGTTATAAATAAATAAAATTTTGTAAAAAATATTTATATAAAATTTTGAAAGAGAAATGGGATGATCAATACAAACAGCAAATCAACAAGCAATGTTCAACCAACGACGTTTCAACAATGATGTTCAACCAACGACGTTTCAACAATGATGTGCAACAACGATGTTTCATGATGTTAATGGAGCAATTGAGAAACAAATGACTGGAAGTGAAGATAAGAAACTGAGGAAAGAAGACATAAAAAAAAGTAATATATAATTTGCATATTTTTTACTTTGTAATTAATGACCTTTTTGTAAAAATCTTTTCTTTTGAATTTATTTAATGACCTTTTAAATTATCTTAATTTTCGTAAATGTTAATATGTAAATAGTATTAAAATAATAATATATATATATAGCTGTAAAAATTGTAAATATCTTCAGTAGTAATTTTTATAAAATTAAAAAATAAATGAAATAAAGATTTTAAAGTATATTTTTTGGGTTTCTCTTTACCTGCCTTATGTGAAATTATCACAGATCTTATAGAATATTTGACCATTTGACCAGGTCAAATATTCCCCCATTCAATTGACCCGTCAAAATCTAGTCATTTGACTGGTTAATTGACAGACTTGCTAACCCTGGCCAAAATTGATTGATAAATTTATAAATATTAAGTCATCAGACAATAAATAGGAATGCTACCCAGATATCAATTTCGCCAGTAAATATCAAGATTTAACTAATAAACTCAATGATTAATATATTGATAAAACTGAGTTCCTTGTGCGCGATTATTATAAAATAAGAACTTCGAAGGAAATAGGATAGCGAAAAAAATGTATTTCAATAACAAATTTCATAAACCAGATCTAAGTTTATTAATCATTATATAAATTTTTTAAGGTTAAAAGAAAATTACAATCTATGTGAATTAAAAAAATATTATTCAAATAATATAATTATAAAAAAATGATTCAAAAATAAATTAGTCATTATTAGCAATTATCGCGATATTAAATTCTCTATAATATCTTCGCGATATATGTTTCACGAAATAATTGTCGCTACATTGTCTTCGCGATTTGGGTTTCGCGATAATAACTTCGCTATAAAATTTTCGCGATAATAACTTCGCTATAAAATTTTCGCGATTATTGATTCGCGGTAATGTATTCGCCTCAAATGTTTCGCGATAAAGGTTTGGTTATAAAATATTAGCGATCATTGATTCGTTATAAAAGTTTCACGGTATTCGCATTAAAGGTTTCGCTATAAAAAATTCGCATATTGTATTCGCGGTAATGTATTCGCTATAAAGGTTTCACGATAAAGGTTTCGCTATAAAAAATTTGCGATATTTGTTTCACGATATTGCATTCGCGGAATATTATTCGATATTATGGATTCACGATAAAAGTTTCGCTATAAAATCCATTCGCGATAAAAGTTTCGCGAAAAAGTGTTTTGAGATAAAAGTTTCGCTGATTTGACATGGAACCAATATATTATATAAATATGATTTAATTAAGCCAATATATACTATACCCTTATAAGGCTTTAAAATATAGGACTTCAAAGGGTAAGCGTCATCCGCCACAAAAAAATGTGGGAAAAGGAGGCTGGAATTTGGCAATCTTTTAGAAGGAGGTAATTGTATATCTCCCTTTTCTATCCTTTTAAATATTTTTGAATTAGCAAAAACACCTCCATCAGACTCACTCTCATAACTTCCAACATCGACAGTTATGAATTTCCCATTAGCCTCCACAATTCCTTGTTTTTACAATATTTAAATTTAAAAAAATTTCAAAAATTATATTTTTGTAATTATCAAGTTTCCATTACAATGTTTAATTAATATGGAAATATTTAATTAGCATAAATAAAAAACAAATTCACAAACCTTGTAAAACCACAGAGAAAAAGTGTTTATAATTGTAAAACCCACTGCCAGAATGAGGTGGTTTCCTAATTCTGCAATGTTCATCAATACTACCTATACAGTTAGGTAGATTCCACTTTATCTCAAACTCCTTTTAAATGATAATATACATAAATATAATATAAACTATATTATACCTTTGCTATTCTCTCAAAATCAGAGAGAGTAGGTGGTGGCATATGCTTGCTTACTAACGTTTGCCATATAGCTTGGCAAGTTGTTCTAACAATTTTCTGGACTGTAGATATGCCCATTTTGAAAGAATAGGCCAAAGTAGGATACCTACAGCCTGTTGCTAAATACCTAAATAAAAAATATATTTAAATAATAAATTGCTTTATTTTTAGCTTAAACAAACCATAAGCTTTTCTTCAACACTTATAGGATGTTTTATAAAATTGGTACATTTGGTATGTAATAAAGGTTTTACATGTTTGAGTATATAATAAAAGGTTTCCTAAATTAAAATGAATTATAGATAAAATAGAATAAAATTACTTTGGTCATTCTCATGTAGTTGAAAAATTTTGCTTAATTTTTTAATAGTTTGGGAAAGAGGATATAAAATTCGCCCTCTTTTGTTTTATTAATATTAAGAGGGTTTAATCTTCTCCTCTTCAAGATCATTCTGTAAAAAGATAATAATTTGAGGATGGACATTTTGAATTATAACGCTTTTCACTGCACTATAATGAAAATCGCTGCGATCGATCCAGCTGATCGGTCGCTGCGATATCGCGGCGAAATCGCAATCGCTCTTGACTATGAATTCAGGGATAGTTATAAATTCTGAAATTGATTCATGGTAATTTTTTTAAGTTATGACCATCATTATCTTCATATGATTCAAATCTCTAAATTATTAGTGGTTTTTTTTCATTGTAGTAAAATATGTGCAAGGTTAACTTCATCCATCAAATTTTTAATTGCTATATTATTATTATTTTATTAAAAATGGGAAAATTAATAGAGGTTGAATTAAATTTATAAAGTTATCATTATTGTGTGATAGGAAAAATATATATATTGATCTTGAAGATTTTGGATTGGATTTACTTATATAAAATGTGAATAATCTGCTTTAAAATCTGAGGTGTTCCTTGAGCTTTGAGGAGTAGCGTTTAGGTAATACGAATGTTAGTTGGAATAGTTAATAAATATATCTATTAATATTTAATTTTCTACAAGGACAAAATATTGTTACATTGATTTAAACATATAAATTATAACTTTTAAAATTTTAGCTCAATATCAATCTTCTTTATTATTTCTCGATGTAAATCCTAAGTGGGTACGATGGATATTGAATATGGAATGGATTATTGATTCTTTTCTAAGTTGGATATAAATAACTAGTTTTATTGATAAGTGTTTGTATTTGTACTGATATTTTTTATTTTATTCAATCATGTTTATTTCTAGGTTCACACAATGCTAAATACAAGTAAAATTAACATAGCCAACCTCTTCCATAATCAAGTTCTCTTATTTCCCATGGGATGGGCGTTTAAGATGCTTTGCTTCTTAACGATGAAACAAAAGTGTTTAGAAATATGATCCTATCATTCAGATATTCCCAATAGGTAGTGTATTTTAACATTATATTTATATTTTTTTAAGTTAATGTTGATGAAAGATATGCATATAATTTATTGATCAAAACTACCTTATAGATAATACATTCAAAAGCACAAAATTTGCAATCTGATTAAATTTTCTTATATTTTAAAAATATGTATATAATTAATTTAGGAACTTTACCATGCTATTTTACAAATAAGAAATATGCTGATTGTGAATTTAGCAAGATTTTTAACATGGTTCAAAAAAAGGTGCATTCATATAATATGATAATAAAAATTCCAAGAATTGTATCAAGACAAGTACATAAGAATAATATTTCCGCATAATCATTTGAGGAGTATTACAGAATTTCAACTTTTATACCACCAATGAATACATTATTAACTCAAATTAGTGAACGCTTATTGAATCATAAACTGTTGCCCAATAACTTTTAATTTTGTTATCCTCTGATCCATCAGTGAGCATCTTGGATGAGATTAGAGATAAAATTCACTATTTATATATGTTTTATTTGCAAGATATAGTAGGGACATAATTGGAAGTAATTTGAATTTAAATATTGGTATGCAAGCTTAAAAAGAATGAACATTAAGCCTGAGAATGCACTAAGTGCACTCAATGTTTGAAAACACATATTAATAAACTTTACAAATATTATATAATTATTTCAAATTTTAGCATGCCTCCCTATTACGACTGTACTAATAAAAGAACTTTCTCGAATTTACGAAGGCTAAAAACATATTTGCGAAATACACCTCGCAAAATAGATTAAATGGCTTATCGCTCATAAATATTCTCCGAGAATTAACAGTTAATTCTGGAACAATTAATTAATTAAATTCTAAAAGAAAATTAGATCTAAAATTATAAATTATTACCACGTTTTTATTTTAATGTATATATATGCAATTTATTATATTTTATATAAACTAATAAGAATATATTTCCTATTTGTTCCACTTCTTTTTTGATATAATCAATTAACCAATTTCGAATATTTAATATAATTTTTGTTTAATAAAATTAACTTCCTATCTTGTAAAAATATTTTATAAATATATAGACTAAGGAAACCCGCCGAATGCCGGGCAAAAGCGGGCCGAAGCCCCGCCCAAAATAGAATCTGAAGGCGAAACCCCGAGAAATTTATTAATCCCCCCCTTAAGAAAATCCTGGCTACGCCTATGCTACACTCTCAAAATTTTATTGGTAATTCTCTTTAACCATAACCATATATTTTTATTAATTTAAAGAGGAAAAAAGATCAGAGTCTTGTGAAAATCTAATACCAATATTCAATTTATTTTTATAATCAATTTTATCGTGAATTTAAACTACAAGTTATGGATAGAAATTACAACACAATATAATATAAACATTAAAATTGTAGGCGCAAGTATATATTATGATTACGAGTCGGTGCACAAATAAATCTAATATTTTATTACTAAAAATATATTATCTTGCACAAATCATATATCATATTTATAATAAATAAAATAATTTGTAACGAAAATCATTATTAAATTTTTACATTTAAGTTTAAATCTTTGGATATTTTTTTCCGTTTGTGTTCTCGATCTTTGTCTTTACGCTTTTTAGCTTTCTTGTTTTTATGTTTCTTACCACTAGTTTCTTTACAATGCCTTTGTTTATCTGATTTTTTCTTCTTCGATTTTTCTTTATCCTTATCCCCCTTTTTGTGAGCCTTTTTATTTTGCTTGCCGTCTTTATTTTCCGTCTCAATTTTATTTAGATTTCTTTCCTCTTTAATATGTTTTTGATTACCATCTTCATTTACTACTTTACTTCTCTTTTTTTTGTTTTTCTTCACCTTGCCGGAGGATTTTTTATGGTGATGATCTTTTGAGTCCGAATGTTTGTTATTCTTTTGTTCTTCACGTTCATGCTTTGTTCTTATGCTAACGCTATTATCAATTTTTTCGATAGGTAAATCTAATATATTTGGCAATTCCTCTTTCAAATCTATTTGATCCAAATCTTTCCATTTAGATGGTGGTAATTCTACTAATGGATTCTCATTAAAAAAATCTAACGCTGGGCTCTGGTTTTCAGTTACCAATAATTTTAGGTGTTCATGAGGTTTTGTGATTAAGCCTATATCCAAATCATGGGGCTTATCTGAAATTTATTTTCCATATTAAAAATAAAGAGAATATGTAAAATAAATGTTGTTAAACGGCTTGATTTTTTAAAAACCACCAGCTTAATATTTTAGCCAAAAATATTATGGAAGTCTGGAGATTTTGTTCATAGATGAATATTTTTGGTTAAAATATTAGGTTAGTTATTTAACAAAACTAAAAATAAGAGATAGTACATATTTTCATAGTTAGTTACTATTAGAATACAAAGTTCAACATTTCTACACCCCCCCCCCTCCCCCATATCCATGAAATCCATATAGAAAGTGTGATAAAGAAAATTTAATGGAAAAAAAAGGCTGATAAAATAGGGATTTTCGTTGTGTAAAACAAGCCTGCCGAATATCGATAGCTCCCTGTGTATTCCTGCGATCCGGTTCTTTGCCAGCTTTTTTTTTTGTATCATCAGAGATTTTTGATATATTTCCTTATGGTTTCAATATTTTTCGGTGAACCAAGGCAAATTTTCACTTATTTTTTTAACTGTGAAGGTATTGTTGGCCATTAGCAGGTCCATAATTTGTTTTCGATGTGATGTGTCCTTGATTTCCAAATTCTAATTTTATGTAAAAATATACTTCTAATTAGGTGTCTCCTGAGTAAAATGTTATTTTCAATTTATTTATCGAATGGACTAAATTTATTTTTTAAATGTTCACTGTTCAAGACTTTGCAATAGTAACAATCCAAGGTTACTTTTAAAAAATATATAATTGGTTACTTTAACAATATTACTAAGTAAAACAAACGATAATCACAATCGCAAAAGAAAGTAGTCTGCTACTAGATTACCTGCATGAATAAATGAATATCTAATAAAAAACGACTTTGGTAAAATCGATGATATTCACAGTCGAAAAAGAAGGTATTCTACTGCTAGGCTACTCGCACGAAATGACGAAAACTATTTATAGACGATGTTAACAATCGATAAACGGTCCTCTGCTACTAGGCTACCTGAACTAATAAATAAACCCGATATAATACCGAAGAAATTCACAAAACAATTTGACGAATGCGTGATACTAAAGCGATGACCAATCGTGTTCAAAGAATAAGAAAATCGTCTGCCGATATGCCACTCGAGAGTGAAGGACATAAGGGATAGTCTTCTATCGTGGAATATGTAAGATATCTATTACAGTGAACGGGGGGATATTTTCTAGTAGATTAAAACAAAATATCTTATTATATTTTTATTTTAAACATTAATCTATGTTAAGGCGCACTTGCATTTTTTTAAAATTATATTTATATGTAAATGAATAATTTTACATAAAAAACATATTTATAATAATTTCATATATCATTTAACCTTTCACTGTAATATATTTTTTACATATTCCACGATAGAAGACGATAAAGAAAATATATTTATAAAATTGTAATAATAAAATACAGTTGTGATTAAAACCCATCCATATAAAAATATTTTGTTTGCAAAAATAATTAAAATAACACAAGGAGGAATAAAAGAATTTTCAATAATGCTTTGTCTATATTTGAATTATTATTGGAAACAAAATATTTTCATATGGATGGGTTTTAATTTAATCGTCAATATGTTTCATTAAATCATCACAACACTATGGTTTCTGTTATTTTATCCCTTATTCTTTACTCTCTCGAGTGACATATAGTCAGACGATTTTCTAAATCGGTGAACACGATTGGTCGTCGGTTTGGAAATATGCATTAGTCAATTTTGCTTGTGAATTTCTTCTGCTTTAAAGTGATCGGATTTGTTTATTCGTTCGCCTAGTAGCAGAGGACCGTTTATTTCGATTGTTAACATCGTCTATTTTATCAAAATAGTTCGTCATTTCGTTCAACTAGCCTACTTATTCATTTATTCGTGCAAGTAGTCTAATAGCAGATGACCTTATTTTTCGATTGTGATAATCGTCTGTTTTACCTAGTAATATTGTTAAAGTAACCAAATATATATTTTTTTAAAATAACCTTGGATTGTTACCACTGCAAAGTCTTGAACAGTGAATATTTAGAAAATTAATTTAGTCCATTCGATAAATAAATTAAAAATAATATTTTACTCAGGCCACCACCTAATTAGAAATATTTTTTTATATAAAATTAGAATTTAAAACATGGACCAAAAAGTTAGATTTAAAAATTTCATTCCGGGATCTGGTCTAGGAATGCTGTTAATAAGCTATGAAAAAAAATCAAAAATAATAAACAGTTAATAAACCCATTAAAATAAATCACACAATTTTGAACAATGTATTTGAATTTAATTGTACCCTTGTTACAACCGGTTCCAGTAAATAAATGTTTTGGTTCGTTAAAAATTATAAAAGGTTATAGTACCAGTTCTTAAAGACCCGATTCCAAACACTAAATGTTTTATATAATAAATTGTTAACAAGCTTAATTTAATAATAAAACATTTATCGTACCCGCTTTGAATTTTTACAATATTTTTATTTGTAATTATAGTGTGATTAATTACAAATAATATCTTAGAAATTAGTTAATATTTTACCAAGGTCGTTTTCATCGTTGTGATTTATTTGTTGATGTAACCTAGTTGCCGTAGATATCCTTTGTCTTTTACGATTATCGTTTATACCACCGTAGTCAGGTTTCATTTTATTATATCGATAGGTTGGCAAGATTCTATGGCCAATTCGAGTATCGTCTGATAAGTTATTATGCTTCAAAGATAAATTTAAGAAGAGTTACTTGTTATACTCGTTCTTAATGAGCATATAAAATCTTACAACCTTAGATATGGGAATGATTTCAGAGAAATAACTATATAAAACTTTGGATAATTTTATTATATATAAAAAAGGAAAAGATAGTCGCCTGCTTCAATCCATGCTAGGTCAAATTTTCAAATTGTGGTAAATATTTGACCATGATTTTTTTTTGAGAGATAAATTTAAAAAGTAAAATTATTTTTGCCCCCCCCTCCCTATTTATTCCTATAACAAATTTAGTATCGTTATAATATTTTTCCAAATATGTAATATTTTATTATTAGTTTATAATTTCTTCTTCTTAGTAGTGGAGTTATTTTATTTATAATATAAAAGTTAATACTTTAATATAACAAAGGAGAAATTTTTTTATAAAATAACATCCTTATTTATAAAAAATATATTAATTTCATACAAAGACAAGTGATCTTTATTTTCCAACTGTTTTTCAAAATTATTATATATAAAGTAAAAACGTTAATATGCTGATAATTTTAATGCGTGAGATTTCCAATTGTGGAAGGGAGATCTCTGCGTGTTGGCTAAAAAATTGCGGGAGACTACCGCTGATAGAGGGAAAGGCGTGGCAACCTTAATCAGAGTAGATCTTAAATTTAATCGATAACTAAAAGTCCCATTCCTACGATATTATAAAAAATGAACAGTATCGCGAGATAGTAATGTTTGTCTTGATGCCAACATCATTTAAAGTAGACAACCGTCTTCTCATTTAGTTAGCGGGAGTTTTCTTAAGGTCCTTATAAAATAAATTCCTTACGCTTCTAACACTGAGTATTGTTTCTTTGAAAGCGTGCGCTCTCTAAGATGAACAAAAATATTTTAAAAAGATACTTATCAAAGATTAGTGAAATCAATATTTTAAATTCAGAATTTACGACAATTAGCAATGGAATCAAAAAAGACTTACATTATAAATTTGGCAAGATATAGTCGTTGCAGTGCACATTTATTAATAAACAAATATTCATATTATTAAACAAACCATTTGATTCTCATTCAACGTGTATTCATTTTTGAAATTATCAGGTGCAACTATATCGCGTTCATCCCTATGCTGATAACCACCCCGATATTTCGCGTAGCCGTAATTATACTTTTGCTTATATCGCACGAAAGGTAATTTTTCGTTGGTAAAATATTTCTTGGAGTAATCGAAAGCCGGCCTATTAAGGGATTGTTCCATCGGATAAGTATCATATGGCCCCTGGTCAATAAATTCTCTTGGGGATGATGCCTCGATAGGTACAGATTTATTATCCATATTTTGGACTAAATGAGGGGGTATAGATGTGGGATTGGGAAGCAGAGGAGCTTTTCGTCTAACAACACCAATAGCGCTGGCATCGGGTTGATGCGGAGATATGTAAGTTAGATGAGGTCGAGTGGATGAGTGGCGCGCAGGCACTACTGGTGATAGTGTAATCAAATTTGTAGGGGGAGCAACGGCAGAAGCTCGTTTCTCCTCTCGTTTAGCGACAGCTAAAGCCATAGCAGGTACCAGAACGTTATTGTAAAAAGAAATGCTGTACATGGGTTTTTGACCTCTTTGGTCCTCTTCCATCATTTCATCTTGGTATTGGTGTCGATTATAATAAGATCTATTAGGGGAACCCTTATCTAAATAAGAGTCATATCTGGGTGGGTGCCTATCTTGGAAGCTGGAATGATCGGGTCTTCTATAACTATAATTTTCTAAATATTTAGGTCTCTGCTGGCTTTTGTGATGTCTTGGTGAGCCCTTTTCATATCTATCCTTATAATAGTACCTTTCAAATTCTTCATCGGACCTAAACGAGGATATGCTAGAACGAGATGATCTACTTCTTGACCTGGACTTCTGAGAAGTCTTAAAGTCTTTTTTCATAATTTTGGTAGATTTAACTTTATATGATTTTTCTGCCCTTTTTGAATCGGATATAGATGACAGAGACACAGGTTTCTTACCTTTAAGAATGGATTGTTTATCAAGATTTTTGATAGAATCATGACTTTGCGTATAAAACATATTTTAAAAGTATAATTAGTATATAATCTAGATATATCTAATTAGATGACAAATTCAATCATTAATTTATATTTCCAATATTGAATTAAACTGTGAAATCTAAAATGATTAATTTATGCATACATTATTTAAGATAAATTTTAGATACAAAATAAGAAAGAAAATTTTTATGTTAATTCTATCTAAAAATTGTTTAAGGAATTATTTTTGATAAATGAAGATTACTACAAGGGTGATACGATTTTTATATATTAATAATTCGAAAAAAGAACTTTTTAACCCTTCGAGTCTAGCAACCTTTCATAAGGCAATTTATTTGCGAGCTTCCAAAACAAATTAATTTTTCACATTTAACATTTTTTTAGGAAGATACATCTTTTTAAAGTTGAACTTAAAACTGATTGAACTATTTCCAAAAATATAAAGTTTATTTATACTATGAAAAAAATCCTTCTGTTTATTTTAAATATCTGTAATTTTGTATATAGATCATCTTATCGTAACTTTAAAAAAAAAATTGTTTCTCAACCCTACCCGTTGAAAATATTTTCAGATATATTATTGTTAGATAATTATTAGATTAATTTTATAATTATCTTGACAAATGATGCATAAAATTCTTAATATCATTCATATCAATTAGGATAACACACAGTTGAGTGCCTATAAAACACCTTTGATCTAAGATTTACTTATAAAAAATATAAATTAAAATTTATAACGGCAAATTCCGCGCGCTGACAGCCACCGATAAAAAAAATAAATCATCATCTCATAGCCGAATTATATCTCGGCGCATAAGTGTAATTATAATATATTCAAAGATATTTGCAATGCTTAAAATTTGCAGTTTTTGTAAAAAAAATCGATGTTTTGCATGAAGGTCCATATCATAGACTCTGAAAGGGACTGCTAAAAATTTTCAATGCTTAAAATTTGCAGATTTTGTAAAAAAAATCGATGTTTAGCATGAAAGTCCATATCATAGACTCTGAAAGGGACTGCTAAAAATTTGCAATGCTTAAAATTTGCAGATTTTGTAAAAAATCGATGTTTAGCATGAAAGTCCATAAAGGGACTGCTAAAAATATAATTTTAGTTAACATTTACTTATGTTCCATCAATATACAATTTGAGGAAGTCAGACATCAATTATTTTGTTAATTTGCAATGGAATATATAATTTATAAATGTTGATGAACAGAAGATCCGAATTAGTATTCTTCCCCAGCCATAAAATATATAAAAAAAATAAGTGAGTGGTTCAACTTAACCATAAACTTTTAAAAATTGTATTCTTTCAGTTTAATTACCTCATATCTCCTTAAAAATCCCATTTTAAATTAAATTATTCATTCATTTATGCAAAGCTAGACTTATAAAAATTCAATTTTATAAAAATTTGGAATATTGTATACTTTCATGAATGGAATTCATGTAAGATTAAAAACAATATATTATAAAATACAAAAATAATATAAATCTAAATAAATTAAAAGCATGGGTAAAAATAAGTTTTCATCTTTTACCCTTTCATTTCAAACTCTTACATACTTGAACTTGGGTTATAAATTGGTCATTCTTATTGAATATCGACTGAAAAACTTGATTCTTCTTGACACCATATTTGAAAACGAATATAACATTTGGTAATATACATTGAATTTATATAAATAAAAATTTAAAAACTCCAGCTCAAAAGGATCAATTATTGGTTATCAATATCCACTACAACTGCGATTCGGTTCTGAAATATAAATTATTTGATAAATATTTAGTATAAATGTAACATTTATATATCATTTTGTTGCCCTTAAAATTTACTTTATGAAAATATAAATAATATTGTAAAAAAAATATGTAGATGCATTTCAGTAAAATATAATTAAGTTTTTTGAAATAATCCCACTTTGAGACGATGAAACTCACTATATAAGTTTAAATTAAGTTTTTTGAAATAATCCCACTTTTAGACGATGAAACTCACTATATAAGTTTATTACCAATATATTTAAGAATTAGAATGAATGAAATAAGAATTTAAAAAATATTTCATTTTTCATTATCTTGTAAGTAAATCTTTTCAGATTATATTTTTTGATATATAATTATGTAATATTAAATACGATTAAATATACCAGACTTACAAAGGTATATATTTATTAAGCTTGATCCAGCCCAAAATCAAGCTTTTCAATTTTCGCGCCTAGTTAGGCCCAGATTTTAAAAATATATATTTTAGGCCTTATCCTCATAGAAATTGATATCCAAAAAATTAAAGAAGCTCAAAAAGAAAGTTTTTTAAAAAAATTTCTAATAAACGTTGTTTTCGTTTTAAAAATTATTTTTAACAATAACGTCCAAATGATAGACAATAGCAGCTCTAACAAGTATCAGATGCACACATATAATAGTCTCAGAAAATTGTAATAGGTGTTTACAATATTAAGTCAACGGTTCATATATCCGTAAAATTACAGATGATCCAAGGAAGGATTTTACTTTAAGCAAATACTTTCCATCGCCATTGATGAATGAATCCAATTACATCAGTTATATGGGAGGCCTCCTTCCCAAGGAACTAATCTAACCTTTTTTTAAATCCTTTTTTGTATATAATTATTATACTCACATTTATATCGTCATATTATTCTAATGTCTTTTTGTTCGAATAAAATATAATATGATTATTTATAATATAAAATCCCTATTTTAGGGTCATTTCTTAATGAGTCTTCATTGTCATTAAGTAAGGCTAGCTTAAAATAACTCATTTATGTGTTACCAAAATATATTGATACTGAGTTTTTTTATATTTTCTTAAAGTAAATATTAAGGGCTATAAGATGATATATAATTTATACATTTGGATCAATATTTAACGAGTAATTTGAGCTTTTTAAATCCGAGATCGCACATGTATTAGACTTTATGAGCCAATAACTCCAGATACATTAAACGTAGAACTTTAAAATTTTGATTTACATAACGCACCAAATTTGTTCATTTAAAAGATCGGTCAAATCGTTGGTTGATTTAACATGGAATTATCAAAATGTTAAAATAAGCATATTCGTTTTCGGAAAATTTATGCATGGAAATAAGAAGGAAAATAAATAAAATTTAAATAAACAAGTTCTTAGTATTAAAGCAGAATGTTGTGAATAGGAATTTTTAAAATAATGCACTCTGTTTTGTAGCGAGTTAGTAACACTCCACCAGATTTAACTTATGTGATATTTATTAACTAATCCAATTTTGAAATTTAAATAAATAATTTTGAAGTTCAATATAGAACTGATCTAAAATATTTATCATATAGGAGAAAGAGATAATATAAACGAAATTACATTGGAAGATCGTGTAAATATTACACCCCTTTTAGATCAGAATATATATGTCATGTAAAATTCATAGAAACGGCTATTTTAAATTTTTCATTTATATTATTTTTGTATACAAAACAGTATACTTTGCCATATTGTTACATCTCTATTTTAAAAAAATAAAGTATAAAAAGATGCTATGTAAGAATAATATAAACTCTAGTACATCTTTTCCAATCAAAATATAGTAAATATTTCAAAATTTAAACCATTTGAAAAAAGGGGAAAGACAATAATAGAATCTTCAGTTAAGCTGTGCATCCATCTTTTAAAAAATAACAATAAGGCGCTACCTTTAAATTGCTGTGGCAAAAGTATTTAAATAACACTAATACTGGCATCGAATAAATGCCAGAGTTTAGAAATAATAATTTTACCGTATCCGATTTTTTAAGTTTGCTTATTCAGCATGCAAAGATTTCGGGGTATATCTAATATCCGCAAGCAATTCTAAAGAATGCAAAAAATTTCCCAGTTAGGTGAAATGTGAGAATTCCATAACTTATGTCAAAAAATGAGTAATTTATTATCCATGGAAATACTAGCAAAATATTATACTAATTTCTAGAACTAATAAATATTTCTAGGCATCGATGACGGGAGCCGATAATCCCTAATTAGGTATTAGGCAAATTAACTTTCCTCCTGAAGTAATTAAAGTAACCCCGAGACTAGAGCTTTGCATGAACAGGATGGATTCGAAACTAATTTTCAAAAATCGAAAAGGCTCTCCTGATAAAAATAATTTTAAAATTATAACTTGAAATAAGAATTCTTTATCTTACTAAACCATTTAATTTTTTTATTACTAACCAATACTTTTTATTAAGATATCCGTCAAATCCTATCATTCTCGTTATTTTATTTTAATTAATTACAACATTTAAAATATAATAAGCCTTCACACATATTATTAAAGAGTTCTGGATGGACAGTTCCAAATCTTGTCCGGCTGTACCTAATTTCCCAGTAATTCACGTAGGATAATTTTTATAAACCAGAATTTAAAAAAATCTAAATTTCTTTCTATTAACCCTCACAATAGAGCTAAAAATAGATCGAATATAGGGCTATATTCGATATTATAATATAAAATTTTAAACAATTCGGTGGAAAGCTCCTAAAAAATTACCTTGGATGGTTCGAAAATTTATTACATGGTAGGTCTTCCTTCTCGTTTTTATGGTTTGAAAATGTTTTTAACAATTGAGGTTAAGGGGGGGGGGGGTTACTTTATTAATCAGATTTGAATATTCAATTATTAATATAATTTCTAAAAAAAATATGGAAATGTGAACGCCTAAAAATAAACAAAACAAATAGATTATGGAGTGAAGGCTGCAAAGTATCGCAAAATAGAAATAAGAAAAGGGTAGGCAATGCTGTTAATATCTTGATGTAAATTTAAATCTCCATACTTGTATTTTCGTTAAATTGATTTATTGTTTAAAATTGTCTATAATTTTCAGAGGCCTGATAAAATAATAAATCATTCAAGTCAATTTGAAACAAATTTAAGTTTAGATTAAAACCAGTTAAAAATAACATAAGGAACCATTTAAGCATTCATTCGCTTTTTATTTTTAATTTCCCTTTG